TAATTAATTAACACGTTTTTATTAACTCACTTTCTTGTCTGTTTGTTTGTCCGGATCAAATTTTGAAACTCAAATTTCACTCACTTCCCGACTAGCTATCAAGCTGAAACTTTCAGGATAGCCTAGAAACTGATGACAATGCAACCTTTTGTGAAAAAAATTAATTTTAAGAATATTTTTTAAAAAGAATAAAATAATTATAGTAGATTAAAAAATTAATCTAAGAAACCACGTTTTCAAAAACCAAAAATTATACCTTAAACGTGGTGCGCATGGAGATTGTTGGGAAGAAGTGAAATACAAATGAAATAGATGCACACCACGTTTAAGGTTATTTTTTGCTTTTTGAAAACGTGGTTTTTTAGATTAATTTTTTAATCTACTATAATTATTTCCTACTAACTTATCAGAAACCAGCAAATATATTAAAAATGCGTATCCTGGAGATTATGTGTTTAATTCCCTCACTTGAGCTTCAAATTGATATACAGTATATATGTACGTAATTCACAATAAGAATGAATGCATGAGGATGTTTGCAATCACAATTGATCCCATTTCCGAATAATTAAAAGAGTCGTTTTGGAATTTATGGCATGTGTATGATTGGTTGGGGGTGGAGTTTCCATAATTGCTTCCCCGCGCTGGTGGAACGGAATTTGAATAAAATAAATTAAGCATAAGAATATTTCATTTCCGCGTTTAATTGGTGTGAGGGGATATTTTCTTGGAATGATGCGGCTCAATGTTTACGGCGCCGCGATTTCGAAATCAGGATGCGTTTTCTGCAGCTCTGGCGATTACTCAATTCCGACGCTCAACCAACCAACCACGAAATGTGCATTGGCTCAGCTCTGCTGAACATACGCCCGAATAAGATTTTCTTGCTTTTTTTTTTATTTTGATACAAAATTCGTCCCAAAGGTTTTTTGCTTTCATGTATATTGCATTTAATGGACAATAGTCCGCACCCTTTTCCCGGAAAAAGTGGCCCCGTAAACTAGGGTGCGGTTTATATATTCGAGCATGTCGAGCGGAATATTCGAAAACATGGGCTTATTTTTAATGTCTATACGCCTCTATACGAAACCAGGGGTGTTGCTATTGCTTTTTAACATTGTGAAGTTATGCAGTAAAACATCCTTACAACAAATACCTTTACAACAACATTTTCAGCATAGGAAACTTTTTCTCAAGTCGTGAATAAAAGCCCATATATAGATTAAATGTTTTTAAAAATATCTTGTTATAATGAACTTCCCAATTCCAGTATAAAAACTTTTCAAGGAATTTAACCCTTGGGCAGCAGTGCCAGAATTTATTTTCACAATTAAAAAAAATTTTGAAAGAAACCTAGTGTCATCAGAAGAGCCAAAGTCTGGAAAATTTCTGTTTTTTTTCTTCTTCTTCTGCAGAAAAATTTCCCTAACAAAATCCTTCACATTGCTTCCCATTTCTGTTGAAGGATTAGCGTTGAGGGATTTCCAGCACAATGGGTTTCACTTTACCAGTTTTCTTCTGGATTTTGGATACTCAGCCAAAGTCGCTCGTGTGCAAAGATGTATTGACCCGCTGCCGTCAGCAGAGGGTTAATGAATTGTCTAGGTGGAAATTTCCTGTGACAGGCACAGTCTGAAATTTCCAATCTCAAATGTTATTTATTCTTGTAGCATGGATGGAGGCTGTTTAATCAATGGCAAACGTGCTTCCCTGTGGTTCTACATAAAGAATGAAGAGATTGGTGCAATAACTGATGGAATATGATATTGAAACTTTTTTTCTGAAGTTTTTTCAAACAGTAATGAAAAAATCTGAAAATGCCAGAAAAGCAAGATATAATTGATTATATAGGCAGACCTGATGTGAAAATGTGTTTACAGTCGTTAATTCTGAAGATCTCGTTACATTAAATTATTCGTCGTTATACATTTTGTCCTAAATCCCCAAAAGTGTTTTGTAACGGAATTTCATTGTAATCATCGTGTGGCGCGTTTCTCAAGGAAGATTATTCTTGTTATATCATCCAGTTAAACGCTTTCGTTTTATTTATTTATTTTTATTCAAAGCTCACCAAAAGTCCTGGGACTCTTCGAGCTTAAAGACCCCGAGAAGAAAGGCCCGAGCAACGTGTATCACTCTTTCGGAGCGGCGGTGTCCGAAGTTGAAGTGGATTGTTTGACCGGCGATCACAAGGTGTCGTTCTTTGACAAAATTCCGTCCTGACATTTCTTTAAAATCTTTTGACAAAATAGCGGTGATGTCGGTGTTCGTCATTTTTGAATGCAATTTTTTTTATTTTCTAATCTATATAAAGGTGCTGAGAACAGACATAGTGTTTGACGTTGGCGACAGCATCAATCCCGCCGTGGACGTGGGTCAAATCGAAGGCGGTTTCATTCAGGGCTATGGTTATTGGATGCTGGAGGACCTGGAATTCGGACCCGAGGGACAAATCAGGACCCTGGGGCCGTCTACATACAAGATCCCGTCGTCTCGGGACATTCCGGAAGTGTTCAACGTGGCTTTGCTGAAAGGGGCACCGAATCCTCACGCCATTTATTCTTCCAAGGTAAACAAAAATATACATGACATACAAATGTGCCCCTCAGAAAATCAAGTCAAGAAAAGTAAGTCAAAATATTTCGAAGTTGGAATTAGGATGAGAGAAATTTTAATTTGAATGATTGTTTTTTTTTTGTGCGTGAATTGTGGCCAACTTTTTCAGAGGCAACTTTTTTTCCTATTATTTGACATATAACGTGAGATATATAAGCACAAATTAAAAAATTATATTTCTTTCATATAAGCCAAAATTCGTTTCGGTTTTATGTATCTTTAATTCCATAATATGCGTCTTATTGTTGTGGAAATATTGGGCTGTGCTCTATTTACGGGGACAGGTTTTGTTCAAATTCTTCTTTCAATAAATCAAGGTGCTGTCTGTTTTACTTAAATAGCATGCGGTATTCGGATAAATATGTTGAAAAATGGTATACACACAAAAACAAAAAATTAACGAGCTTCAGAAGAGCACTTATAAAATGAAAAAGATTCAAATGAGCAAGTATCAAATGACGGAATGTAATTTTCCGTTTGATCTCCTCAGTTATATTTTTCTTCGCAAGGTAATATTGTACGTGAAAAAATATATCATGTACACGAAAACATAAAATCATTCATAAATGGAGTAAAACAGCAGATAAGCTTTAAAAAAATGAGTCTCAAAAGTTCTGGACGAGGTTACGCCAGGTTCGTTATCCAGTACTTATTTTTTTCAGGTACTCATTTTGTATATTTTATATTTCAACTTTCTCTTTCGTTACTTTATATTTTTGCAAATATATAGAGAAAAGTGACTGAGCCTGCAAAAAGCTCCACTGCTCAGATTTTGACATCTTGGCAGGATCCCTGATGAAAAGGAGAATCACTTTGTTTTTCCCTCACACAAATCCAGCGTCTTACTTCCGATCGATTTCATAAGATGATTATTTTTCAGGCCGTCGGAGAACCGCCTTTGTTTTTGTCAGCCTCGATTTTCTTCGCTGTGCGAGAAGCGATTGCAGAATACCGGAAGCAAAATGGCATTACTGCCCACTTCCAACTCGATTCGCCGGCAACTTCCGAGCGGATCAGAATGCTTTGCCAAGACACATTCACGGAAAAAGTAAGTATTGTACTGTACTGTACTGTACTGTACTGTAGACTAGTTATGGATAAAACGTGATTAATGATGAGTCAATTCGTTGAAGGAATTTCTCCTGTAAATGCCAAGACGCGGTCATGATTATAATTCAAGAGAAACAAGCGGATGACAATTTATGAATGAATATCTTTTCAGTAAATCGGGTCGTTCCACTTGTACACGGTCACAGTTCGTATTGAATAAATGCAATTTCCATTGATTCCAACTCGCAAAAAAAAATGTTAGCACAGGATTATTTTTAAGGTACATGTTGAACGGTTGAGAAGTCGGTTTGATGAAGCATTTGATTTTTCATTCAATTTTGGAGCTACAAAATATTTCCTGCAGAAAAATAAAATACGTGCACATAGAGCATGTAACAAGAAAGCATATGTTACACATCTGCTCGTATCAGAATCTTTCACTTATTGAGCATCACAAATTAAAAATTCCTTGAAAATTTTCATTCAAATTATTTCACCTGCTGAAGTTATACTGTATCTTCGTGAACCAGATGTTTACGCAGGTTCGTCTTACTATTCTCTCTTTCCAGAATATAGTGTATTATTTTTCTGAAATATCAAGAAGACTAGCGATCATACGTCGAATTACTACGCAGGTTCCATTTAAAATGTTTTCAAAAATGCACAAAGACTTACAAAAGTATTTTCATTCAACAGGTAGAAAAAACGCAGCCAACAGCGGATCCGAAAGCAAAACCATGGATCGTTCCTGTGTAAGCTGCATTCTTCATATATCCAATAGGTGCGACACCTGCTCAGAGAACTCGGAAAGAAATCCATTCTTCGACTATTTCATCGAAACTTGTAAAAATGAAACCCTCGCATTTTGAAATCCTGATGCAGGACAAGCGCTTCCTTATACTGTATTTTGTTCTGTACTCTTATTTTGAATCAGCACGTGGATTGATAACGAATTCTGATGTTTACTTATAATTTTAAATTCTGACGACTTATGTATGAATCCGTGCTTTCTTGAATGGTAATGCCTTACGGGTGTCGGGATTCGAAAAAGAAATACTAACCTTTACGAGATGGACTTTCGATATCATTCTCACGCGGGAACGAAAAAGAGGCGGTGGTCTTTTTGAGAGGCAATAAAGACGGAAGAAAATGTTCGCATTTCGAAAATCGATCATTCGTTTATTCTTTCGTGGACTTCAACAACCACGTGAAATCCGAGATTCGTCTTCGTGTTGACATTTGAAAGGGAGTAAAGCATTCGAAAACGACGTCTGCCAAGTCATCATTCCCGAACCTATATGACAAGACGTGTTCGATTTTCAGAAAAGTAAATTGCCGTATTTCATTAAAAATTTCCGGACAGTCCACGACAGTATCATGCGTCAGATAACAAACAAATGCAATTCAGTTTTTTTTTTAGAAAATATAGTGCGATAGTGAAACCCTAACAAATCATCGACCCTAACTGTCGAAAGTCAAATTTTTCGACACCTCTCATATTATATTCCCGTAGACTCGATCCAAAAAGCAAGATTTTTTGGGCCATCGAAAATAAATCGTCAAGAGATTAATCGTCACTAAAATATTACTTAATTGTTTATATAATTTCAAAGCTGCATGAAAAAGATGAACTGTGTCTTTTTGAAAGACATCTATCTTTCAAGAATAAATTTAATTTTTCATTTCATCACACTCAGCACTTCTTATCTTTTGTAGGAATGTTTAAAATTCAAAATTATCCAAGAAACTCTGAGTGGATGAAATCAAGCTCTAAAGTTTTGCAATACATTCTCGCTTTTGTTGTTTAAAAATTTGAGAAATTGTCCAAAAAGCTTCGTATAGTCTCGTAAGCTGCACTTCGACACATTTATGAGACAGCATATTTCAGTTGGGTGGGTCAATTAGTAAGTGAGATGATTCTAGCGTGACTTAGATTTGTTGTATTTACCGAGAGAAGTTTATTAAACTTTATTTAATGAGAGAAGATTCCGAGAGAAGAATATTCTCGGAATTTCCTTAATTGTTCAACCGGTGGAAACAAAAATAATAATTAAGCATACGCGCGTAATAAAAAACAAAGATGTGACGGACGATTGCCTACACACACAAAAAAAATAACTAAAATAGGCAAGAAAAACGCTCGGGACATTCAGGATGTGTTTAATTAAAAACACATACCAAAAAACGGGACGAGCGAAAAAACATACAAAAATCACATCGCAGTGTTTTTTTGTTGTTGAATGAAACAACATTAATGTGGACAAATATGAAATGAAATCTGGGTCAGTTCGTCAACCCAGTCAAATCGTCATCATGAGCAGCGACAGCAGGGACAGCAGGGACATTGACCATGACCCGACGACACAGTCCCGAATAGTCTTTCACAGTGCCTGGCCCACAAGTCCACTTCCGGAACGGGGCATGGCCCGGCATGAGATAATCCGGCGGTGGAACGATCGGCGGTGATTCAACCGACGATGCCGACGAGGGCTGATGCTGGGTGATGCTTTTGCTGACATCGTCGGTGTTTTCGACTGCTCCGACTGCTGGGACAGGGGTTTTATTTTGCACGCATTCCAGTCGCACTGGTGGGTAGAAAGGCTTCCCAAAAAACCCCTCTGACCCGTGACTGGCAACTGTCAGGTGTTGGCCGGGCTGACAGGGCCTCTCTTCGTCTTCCTCTTCCTGTTTTCGTATGGTTCGTACGGGAAAAATAATAAATGAAGAATAACACGCATATAAAAGAGCGAAATAGGGTAAGATAAATATAGGAGTAGCTTGTAGCTAGAAAGGCCAGAAACATGTCTTATTTAAGAGATATTTTCTCTGTGCAACGATTTGTTTTCCAACAACTGGGTTCTCTTAATCCCATGTCATATAGGAATTCTCTATAGCAAAATTATCTGTTCAAAGAATTTTTCTGGTTCCTTGAATTTCGTCGTAAAGGGAGTCCACCTTCATAATCCAAACTAAATTTTGAGCGAGTACATTCCAGGGAACCTTTTTTAAATTTATTTTCATCGCTTCCAATAAATCAGTGATTCAAAAGAGGTTTCACAGTTTTTCCAGCACCCGGATTACTTTCAAAGTAACTTTCTTTATTGTATTAAAGGTCAGTGTTTTTCATCGCTTACAAAATTTATAAAAAATTTGGGCATGTATAGGAATACAGCTTCCCATTCTGTCCCATGACTGCGGCGTAAATTTATCACAAATGTTCAACAGTGTATTCGTAAATTTTCCAACCGAAATTGTTAGAATCATTTGTAGAAAAGATTAAGAAATTAGTTGGCGTTTCTTTCCTTGATTTTTCAGGACAGATTTTTTGTAATTTAGCTCAAGATTATCTACACAAAGGCCTCAAAAATTCCGTTAAAGGGGTTTGGCCTTTGGTCGACTGTAATGCCACCTTTACTTATGTACAACACACACAGATACACATTTTCTTCAAAATTAAAAAGAGAAAAAGAGGGTTTGAATTATAGGTGAGTACGCAAACTTCCAAAATTTTAGAACCCTAGGTGTGTATCATACTTGATTCGAATGGAAAACTCTGAATTCCTTCTAAAAATTTCTAAAAAATACACTAAATCGATTGAAATCAGATTCAATTCAGGTCACATTTAAATTCTGACGCGTTTCATCTTCAAAATACTGTACTTTTTTGTACATTAAGGTCACCAAAACTTGGGCGTACGTCTTACACTCAAGGATGGGTTTTTATCCAAATTTCAATATGAAAAAGCCAGGTATTGAAGATGCAACTTACTTTATGGCAAATGGTACCCAGTATGGTAATTAATATGGTACAGTAATTTTCGTTAGATTTTTGGAACTGTTTTTATATATTTTAGCTCAAGAGTAATTATACGAAGGCCTAAAAATCAAGCTAAATAAGGGGATAATGTGCAAAACATTTTGACGAGTTGAACATGTTTGAAATCCCTTTGGTCTCAGGAGAATTGGTTAGGAATTCATGAAAAAAATTCACTACACAGCAAGGCACAACTGTACCAAGTACGAAAAAAAAAAATGAATAGAAACAGGACACGAACCACCTCATCCTCCTCGTCGTCGTCATCAGCAGCCCAGGGGTAACAACGCCCCCGGGGCAACCAGTAAACCTCCCCGTCCTCACACGGGTTCATCCCGCATTCCACCACATTCCGTTCTTCGTCCCACACAATCAGTCGTCCACTCGGACACGGCCCCCTCGTGAACGCCCTGTAGCAACCCCCGTCATCCCGGCCGGGCCACAACAAGAACCCCTCTCTGCACTCGCACCTACCCGCACCGAACTCGTCGGCGACGAGCCACTGCCCGACAGCGCAAATGCCCGCGGGGGGATTCATCGCCGACACGCATCGGTTGTCAAACGGCAATCGGCCATCTTGAATCGAGCATTCCGGGGTGAAGCATTCCGGGATGCCCGTGGACGCGTTCAGCACTAGCCACTGGCCGATCGGACACGGCCCACCCCAGAGCTCGAACCAACGGACAAAGAGCAGTTCTTCGCAGGTGTCAGAGCCCGGTGGGAATTGGGCCGACATTTCCGGACACGAGGAGCTGTTTAATGCGGGGTTCAGAGGTGCGATGACGGGTAAGGATGACGGCAATGCCGACGTGGGTTCTCGGCAAATTTCAGACACCGGCGGATGTTCGGAGTTCGTGGCAGGCATCGTGAGATCCGACGTGTGATGCTGGGCTGACGACGAGAGATCCTTTTCCACGCTCGTTCGTTCGTCGACGCGATGTCCCGACGACGACGACGACGGAGATTCATTATTGGGAATAATGAGAGATCGGGAACGATGTCGAAAGTCTCGGTGTAAACTGCTGCTGCTGGATTGCTGATGAGTGTCGGTGGTGGGGACTGCTGCTGCTGACGATGACGACAGCAATGGCGGTGTCGCGATCAATGTCCACGCGACGATCAGCAGGCAGTGAAATACGTGCACGGTTATTGATGATCCGTGCATCATGCTTTGCGTTTCTTTTATATCAAATAAAAGAAAACGATTCATTCATAGAAATGATGATACGCATCACGTAACAGGACCCCAAAACATGGGGGATTTCATTGGCAATAATTGAATAAAAGATTTTAGATTTTTTTAAAGGTAAGGGAAGCTGAACCACATAAGAATATTTTGTCGAAAATCAGCAATCGGGATCTTGAAAAAGGTGGTAGAGTGAAACTTTTATTTATATTGAGATTTTAAAAACGGTGTGCTTCTATGGGCTGTAAAAATCTCTCAAAGCATGAACGCGTCACACACAGAGATTTCATGGAATTATTGCTTGTGCAGGGAAGTTAAAACACAACAGAATATTGTGTTGCGCAAAACAGCAATTGGGACACTAAAAAATCTGGTTAAATTAATAGTAAATTACATTGGGATCCAAAAAAGGCGTGCTCTTAGTCTTAAAGCTCAAAAACTTCATTTTTTACCTATAGAAGCATGGGTTCGTAGTATACTACACTTTTTAAAACAAATTATCCTGCAATAATTGGGCCTCATCCTGGTAATCAAAAAGTTTCCGCACTTTCGAAAGGAATAAAGGTTCAAATGTCAGTCTCTGTGACCCAAAAACAGGGTATTTCAGCGGGAACAAAATACTTTTAGGCAGTTTGCGAAGGGAAGTTGACATAAATGAGGTGATACAAGGGGATCTCATCCTCGTGTAAGAGCCAAGTTTCATTGCGCCAGAATAAAAGACAGGTTTAGTTCAGCTGTTTTCGTCTAAGAAAATTCGTTTATTTCTGCTAATATAATTCTAAATTTTTGTATACAAACGCTTGTAGCAAAATTTTTTACATCTATCAAATAAAGTTAATTCACCCTTTTATTCCAACCGCGGGATGATGAGGGAAAAATAAAATGGCAAAAACTTATTTTTCCATTTGGAGGCTCTTATTCGCTCTAATTGAACAAAAATAAACAATATCGACATCTTCCAAAGTTATGATCAGGCAAATGAATTTATTTATAAATCCAAATTTAAACAGTCAAAATCAATAATCCCCTATAATAAAGTTACTTGCGTTCGTAAGTGTGTGGGACCTCACCTCTCTTACTTTTTACTTAGGGCTATTTACGAAATCCGAACTCCCTCCCACAGAGCCCCCAGTGAGGCCTGCAGGAGGTTCCCGTTTCCGGGCGTCT